TAATTTTATGCAATTAAATCGTTAATAGTATAAAGCTACAGAAATGATTATCGATCGCCCTGGTAAAGTTAAATTAATTTTCGAACCCAGCGATGGTCTCGATCAACGTAGTGAATTAGTTTATGAATTCTCGGTACACTATAAATTTTTATCTTTCTATTTTTTTTAAAAAAAATAATATATATATTAATTAATATGAATCTAGTCTCCTGGAGTTTCTATGGCTATGTATAACACTGATGAGGTATATACATTATTTGATAATGTATGGAAATTAAATATAATGATAATGAACATATTTAACATTAAATTTTAGTCCATCACAGGTTTTGCTCATAGTAGTTTTCAAATGGCCTTAAAAGTGGAAATGCCTTTGGTAATAAATAATCATTTATTCAGGTTTAGCGTTACTAAAATAGGTTTTAACATATGATGTTTTAAATATAGTACTTAAGTACTAAAAACACTATTTTGAAAAAGTACGATGGACGATTCAAAGATATTTTTCAAGAAATATATGAAAGAGATTACAAAGGCAAATTTGAAGCAAAAAATTTATCGTATGAGCATAGACTCATAGATGATATGGTCGCTCAAGCTATTAAATCAAGTGGTGGATTTGTATGGGCAACCAAAAATTATGATGGGTAATGATATCAAACCTGGGTTATCTTTTAAAAATGTTTAATCATAATATAGTACTAATTTTGATATATTACTGTCTTATCCTTCATTAGTGATGTACAGGTATGACTTTACAGTAATAAGTCGAATTATTTCTATCTGAACGGTTAATATGAAAACTAATTATTGAGAAAATAATAATATAGTCCGATATTTTGGCACAAGGTATTAACAGATTTATAATTTGTCATTAATTTCGTTTACAGTACGGGATAACGTATAGATTATATTTTACACTATAGGATTTGGGTCATTAGGTTTAATGACCAGTGTGTTATTTACACCTGATGGAAAGACTATGGAAGCAGAGGCAGCTCATGGTATGGATTTTAAACAACCAATATTTGCCTACAAAATTCATATTTAATTGTTAAAAATTTATATAGGCACAGTAACAAGACATTATCGCCAACATCAACAAGTAGGACTTTAATAAATTTAATGTGTTCTTTATTTACCAGGTTTAACTGTAATGTATTTTACAATTATTTTTAAATTAGGGAAAAGAAACGTCTACAAATCCAATTGCATCGATATTCGCTTGGACACGTGGTCTGGAGCAGAGAGCAAAATTGGATGATAATCAAGAACTATTTAAATTTTCAAAAGATCTAGAAAGAGCGTGCATTGAAACCGTAGATGTTAGTGGTAAAATGACAAAAGATCTTGCATTGGCACAACATGGAAGCAAGTAAGTTATATATTTTGACCAATACATTTTGTTAATGCAATCCTAACATTTATTCTTTTTATTATTCAAGCCTCAAGCGTGAGCACTATGTCACAACTGACGAGTTTCTAGATCATATTTCGAACAATTTGAAGCATATACGCAATGCTTAAAAAAAAAATCTAAATACTGTATTATTATTTGTAATTAAGAAATTTTCAATTCTCATCTAAGTTTGTCTCTGTTCAGTAATTCATTATCGGTATTTCAAATTTATTGCTGAATGGACCATTCAATATAGAAAAATCAAAATTGATCCAAATTTTAAAAAACTTTTTTATAGTACAGTATGTATAATTCTTTTTTTAATTATAATTGTAACATCTTAATATGGAAAAGAAAAGATAACGATAATAAATATTTGCTGTACGTATTGACATTCTGTTTCCAAAAATAATTGCCTCCGGAAATGGTTACAGCATTTTATTTTTTACGATTAGTTATAAGACAATAAGATTATTCAGAGACCCAAAAATATCTCACTATCATTCTTTTTGTTTTCGGCTTTGGCAAAAGCCTCGTGCTAGCGTGAGGAGTTTATAAAGCCGATAGAGTTGCTAGAATTATTATATTTTGCTTTAAACCTACCTTTCAAACATTAGACTGCATTTCAAGCATTAGACTTCATTTCTTTGAAAGAAATGTCTGGTTTTTCGTCAGCCGTTTTAAAACCTTCTCACTTTACATCACGTGTAAAGAATGTCTCATCTAACATGAGTCATTGTTTTTCTTCACGTACAATATATCCCTTCCTTAATTCTCCGAGTGTCTTAAAACAGACGAATAGAACGAGTTTATTGCAACATAATAAATTTTTTACTGCCTCATTGACTCTTCAACAGGGTGCAGGCAATTCTAGCACGGGGTCTACTGCCGAGAAGTGTAAGAACATGGCAGAAAACAGTAGAGTTTATCAACGACCATCAAGTGTCAATATTCCAAAAATACGTCCCAACATGACAGTAGCTCGATATTTACCCACGGCAACTGCTCGAGTTAACGGTACCTAATTAAGCTAGCATATATCCGATCCAATTTTTATAAAAAAATCTAATTTTTTTTTTTGTTTGTTCCATAGAGATTGTTACATCACCTGCTTTGACCAGTGATGAACAACCTTTATCCGAAGATGAGGGACAAAGGTATGGTACTAGAAATAGATAACATTCTTGATGAAATATATGTATATGCGCTAATGTACAGTACTTTGTAATATAGAATTAATGAAATTAAGAACGCAAAACTCATATTTAATCAGGCTTGGAAAAACATTGAGGACGAGTATGGTCGAGAAAATCTTTGGTACGTATGTACGCATATTCGATATATTTAAATTTAACTATTAAAATTATGTTAACGATTCATGAAATTTTTAAATTTAATACAATTATAGTTTTCCAAGAGAGATTATTTGGTTAATGGGGGCTCCTGGTAGTGGAAAAGGGACGCATACAGATTTGATTTTAAAGGCACGTGGTATTACTAATCCTGCCATCTGCATGTCGTCTCTTTTAAGTACGCCAGATTGTCAGGAACTAATAAATAAAGGCAAAATGATTAGTGCGTATTTTACTCTAAACTAGAAATGAAATAATTTTAGTTATGATTTCTAAAATAAAAAAATTATTATTTAATAGGCGATGGGAAAGTTCTAGAGAATTTGTTTCGCGCACTTATTAACTGTGATCCGACAGTGGGTTGTCTTGTGGATGGGTTTCCCCGTACAGACATTCAGGTCGAATGTTTGAAACTTCTTTATGACAAAATGCATGAATTGCGTCGAGAATTCTGGGGAACTCCATTGCAAGATAAATTCCCGTAAGTATATGATCACTAACAAAAACGATTTTAATTATTCAGAATAATGATTTTCGAAAATGGTCTATTACCTAGTCGTCCCACATTTCGTATCTGTGTGTTATACGTCGACGAAGAAGTTTCTGTTGCTCGCCAATTGCAGCGAGGACGACAAATCAGAGAACATAATGCCCAAGTTCGGCAAACGGGACAAGGACAGCTTTTAGAGGAACGAGTTACGGATTACGATGAATTGGTTCGTATTGAGTTAAGGATGGATTTATTTGCGTTTATATATCTAATAATCATAATATAATTATTATATAATTTTAGTTGATCAGAGCGCGTTATCAAATATTTAAAGAACATTTTGGAGCTTTGATGAAGCTTGGAAAACTTTTCCCTTTTCGTAAGTAAAATAAATAATGGTCAATATTCAGACACCATCTAATATTTCAACCAGCCATTCAAAAGTATTACTTTACAGTGTATTAACAGTAAATTATATACATATTATATAATACTGCATTAATATAATTAGATATTTATCAAAAAAATAATAAAAAGACACACTTAAATTTCATGAATAATTAAAATCTTTTTATAGACCTCATCAATGCCGTTGGATCTATTGAAGAGGTTATGCGATTAATACTAAAAGAATTTGAGTACCAAAGTTCTCTCGAACTTGGTATGTAGCTCATTTATAAAGTCATATTTTTTCCTTATTTATACTACAGTATTAATTCAATAAACATTATTCATTTAGATCATAAGACCTATGATTCAATCGCACATATCCCACTCGCAACAAAAATCGGTATTCATGCTCGACAAGATTTAATTAGTCGACTTGAGCATTACCAAGATACCGAGCCACAACTTTTTATTAAAGCAATCGAGTTCGTAGACAATAATGTTATCCCAATGGTTCAACGTCATGCTATCAGCGGACAAGCTCTTATTCGAACGTATGCATTTTAATATTATTATACTATCTTGTATCTAATATATTTATATTAAAAAAATATATACACCTCTTAGGACTTCTCACCAACTTGAAAATCAACATCTTGTTGACATGATAATGGACGTTCTTTCGGAGCGAGGATATCATGTAATGTTTGATTACCGAGTTCGAGAAACTCCTGTTAAGATTAATCCCGACACTTGGGAAATTATTCTTGAAAAGTATGTTTTCTCAATAATAAAAAATTTAGTTAAGATATTAATTATTATTCTTTTTTAAATAATTCTTAGGCGCCATAATTATATGTTTAGCGTACGATTCCCAAAACATATCATTCAGCCTCTCGAACAGAAATTTTAACGACATTCCGTTGGATTTTTTTGAACTTGTTTAGATTTCGACACAATTGATAATATTTATTAGATTTAGAGGACTCTTCACGCTTACTCATTACGCAATGCTTTAGCGAATACCATCATCATATTTTTCTATTCATGTAATCATATAATAGCAAAGCATTTTTTTATTCCATAGATTTTTATAATTTGTGAAGCTAGATACGTATATATATACATGTATATATTTTTAGAAACAAATTTAGATTTTTAAATAATTAGAACTAGTTGTAAAGATAAAACAATGCATAATGCTATTTTTTGTTTTTTTTTTTTTTAAGAGATAAATTATAAAATTAAATTTGCCAATTTATTTATTCATTTAAGTAGTTTTATACAAGTTACTATATCTGTAACCTACTTGTAAGTTATCTATTTAACTACTTTGTTTAATATTATCTATTATAATTTCAAACTAATTTTATTGTAATATCTAACTGTTTAAGCTAGCTAGCTTATTACAGATTATTTATAAATTAGTTTATTTTATTTTTTTTTTTTTTTTCAGTAATCATGCTAATACTTTATTTAATTAATAATTTTAATCTATGACTATTACTAAGTATTAATTCACTTAGTTATCATTATGGTATCTAAGTGCGATCTGCTATAGTGACTTTTGACCTCTTTACTTTCAGACTCCTAGAAAGAGTAACTAAAAGTACTTCGAAGGAAGGATACCACAGCCCATCGTTTATAAATTAGTTTATTTTATTTTTTTTTTTTTTTAACTTAGGCGATCTTGCCCTTCATTTTATTAGGAAAAATATTAAAAAATATTTAGACAAATACATAATAAAAGAAAAAATAAACCATTCTACTTTTAAAACTACCCTCCTTATTGCAATTCTGGACTCACTCAGCTGTCTAAGAGATGCCCAAGTGCGATCTGCCGCAGCAGCATTTTCC